CCCCCCCCCCCCCCACACTTTTTAATTCTCAAATTGTTTATTAAATTTTTACTGGTTGGGGTTAGAGAAGGGCTTGGGGTTGGGATCAGTTTATCTTATAAATGGAAGCAAATTGGCATATGTTTTAGAAGAATCGTCTATGTCTATGAACTCTTTAGCACCTGAAACGAGCCATACAATGGCATTAAAAATCAAGGACTATATAATTTCTTCGCTATTATTGGCCCATCATTATTTACGGTTGATAGTTGATGATCAGTTACAGTGGGCCTGGCTTGTCAGGTTGAGTTGCCCATAGCCGGAGGGTGCGCCTACGAAAGCAGGCGTCTTGGTCAGTATATTTTGGTTGATAGTTGCTGATTATGAATGTATTTATTGGTTGTATTTATATGGTCCAGACCTCCTGTATCCCTATCTACTTCTCTACTACACATTGCACCCTACCACGAAAGTTGCCATTTTCAGGCCAGTGTTAACGCCTGAGCAGGCGTGTTGTTTTGATACATTTCCTTGTAAATCGTATACCTTGTAATTCAGCGTAATAGGTTGTCCTTGCAAAACCTTAAGAGGCAGTCTCTGTAAAAGCGGTCCACTGCATTACGGATCAGAAAATAGTTTTCTCCCAAACTTTTACCGTGAAATAGCACATACCAGTGAGTTATGAAACTGACTTTGGTTTTTCAATTTTCATAAAAATAATTTTTTACAGCGCTTTAGCTCCAGGCGACCGTGTTCGCTGAATTTGCACTTTTCGTCGACTGAAAATTACACATATTTAAAACATTACAGCTCACGGAATATAGAACTTTGGACCATGATCTTTTTTCTCAGTCTTGTTCATTCATTTAAGTGCAAAATTCAAGCGAAATTTTGAATGTTGAAAGAAATGCGGGGGGGAGGAAAAAATATGCAATGATACTCGTTTTACGGCCTTCTTAAAATCACGACAAACTGACCCTCAGAAAATAGCTTTGATCTCCTAAGTCCAGCACTAAAAACCTAAAGCTTCTATTCCAATCTACTAATCTAAGGATGTATAAAAAGGATTGATAAAAACATTTTGCGCTTTTTATTTAGATTCCGCACAACAACCTCGAACTTTCTGTGTTTTTAATGCAAATTACATTAATTTTAGTTAGGCGGTAAATATAAACCGTAATGAAAGACAGTTATTTGCTTCATTTGCGGTGCTCAAACTTGGGCACCGCGTTATATTCTGCCTGTGAGTCTGTTAGTTTATCCGTTTGTTAGTTTGTCGGTCCGTTTGTTAGTTTGTTCGCATCAATACGTTTCCTTAATCACCATCAATACGTTTCCTAAATCCTTGCACGTGCTCGGAATTTGTTGGTTGTTGTCGGTACTCTCATGATCGACTGTTTGCTAGGCTTTATTTCTGGTTTTATGCGCCCAATAAGGACAAAAATGCTACTGTTCGAATCAGCGTGAAAAGTTGTATTTACGGATGTCAAATTTATTACTAAACAACAGTATTCTAGCGATTTATGGCCTTTGAAAGACAAGCGAAATTGTATTGTTCCGCACATCGCTCATAATTATTAAACTAATTAAAAATGCAATACATTTGACCCTGATAACTTCGTATTGTTGCAGGTTTTTGACTCACGGATGTTGCGAAGCAACATCTGTGAGTCTTTGTGGTTTACTTGAGTGGGGGCAGTTAAACAATGGGAAATGACCAGCCTGCTTTGCGCGCAGTGTTTGCCTGCGAACGGGTCTTTTGGAACCGAAAATTGGGCTGGAGCACGCTTCACGTTCTTTTCAACTTTTGACTTTTTGACAAGCGTATGTTAAATTAAAAGGTGAGTGTTTCGTTTTTGTTTAGTTGACTTAATTGTTATCTGTTTTTCTACTTCACCCAACAGATCTGCTGTTAACACACTGATCTACCTTTTAGCTGAAATATTAACAATATTTTGTTCAATATATATACAAGTGTTGACATTTTCTGGTGCCTTTCGAGCGCCTCTGTCAGCTGTGTTTCAACACCGTTTCAACACTGTTTCCATAGTTTCTGTCGATTGAAAGAGTTTTTTGTTTACCAAATTTAATCATGTTATTTAAATAATTCATGTTTTAGCTGTCACGGAATACAAAGGACATATTTGTCTTACTTGAAGCAACACGACACAAAATCTTGGTATTAAAGTCACGTTGCCGTTGTATATTTCATGACTGCGCTTGCACTGTAGCCTAGTATCAGCTGGCACGCACGAGTCTCAGCAGGGTATCGATAAATCGCTTCATTTTTATCCTCTATCAGGAGAATTTCAGCTGTCCTTTATGCTCTTTGATGAATGTCCCACTTATATTTAGACGCAATGAAACAACATCAAAACCACTAGTTAATCCAACGAAACTCTGTCGGATTACTGGGGATGGCAATTGTTTATTTAGAGCACTGTCGTATATTTTAACCGGTAGACAAACATACCACATGATTTTAGGACAAAAAATAGTGGATCACATGAACAGTATAGAACATGTCCTTAGACCATATATGAATAGTTCAGTAGATCATTATTTAGCCACAAGCAACATGAGGAACAGTGGTGTGTGGGGGACTGATATTGAAATTTTTGCAGCCATTCCCTTTTCAATGTAGATATTTATGTTTATTCACAGTTTGGTAACAATTATAAATGGTCTAAAAAGAAAAAGAATATTGGACACTGAGGCAGCATTACCACCTGGATTTACTTAAACACTGTACTGCCATTGGACAGCTACCTGTACCGTTGTACCAATAAGGGTGCTGTTTTATAGTTGTTCTGTTTAAATTTTTCTGTTCAACACTGTACACTGTACATCATACAGCTACGGTCATTGATGCAGCATGTACTGTATTGGTTACAGCTTTATACTTATAGCTATCATGTTTAAATTGTCCTGTTCAACACTGTAGATCGGACAGCTACGGTCATTTGATATATTACATTGGGGACAGCTTTATACTTATTATAGTTATCATGTTTAAATTGTCAGTCTGTTTAACACTGTACATATCGGAAAGCCACAGTCATTGGATGTACTGATACTGACTGTATTAGGTACAGCTTTATACTTATAATTATTCTGTTGAACACTATACACACCTGACAGCTACGGTTATTGTACTTTTATATAGATTTGCTTTGATGGTGTGTAGTTTTATAATAATCTATCAGATTGTTTTTTCAAGACTGTTGATATTGGTTAGGGACAGGTCATTATTTATGGAAGGGGGGGAGGGGAATTTTTTCTTTTCTAAATTTTTAAAATTGAAAGCCCCCCTCCCCTAAATGGCAGAAATTTAATGATGGCCCCCCCTGCATATTAGAATATTTTTCTTTGACCCCCCCCCCATTTTCATTTTTACTCGTCAAATGGGGATACCCAGGCGTTATAGTATTAATTATTAAATAAGAATATGGAACTGGCAAGATATTAACGTCGACCAAAAATATATATTTATTAGCAGAAAATTATAATTAAAAGAGGAGTATTTTTATATATAACACTAAAATCAGGTTTCCATTTGGTCTGGGCGATTGTAACCATGTTTAAGGCTGCAACTAGACTTGATGGTACGAAGTATTGCCATAGCAGCTGCGCGGCAACAATGAGAGCAACAATCAGTAAAATTAGCAGCAAAAGGAGATAGCAATGACAATTCTGCAAAGGCATACCTGCGAAATACAATGTATAGTGGTCTATACATCCTATTTTATGTGAGATTTAAAATTATATAAAATAAAATGACATATACTAGCTACCAGATAAAATCTTTTAGAATGAACATGGGTGGGTGGGTCGGGAAAAGGTATCGAAGCGCAAAACTTGCTGCAGCTAGGCAAAGCATACAATGGCAGAATGAATACCCAGACCCAAGCACTGATCACAAGGCATGAAACAACCCCCTTTGATCGATATGACGTCACAGACTCCCTTCAGCGGATGTGGCCTGCATAATACAAACGCCGTTAACTGCTTAATTTAAATGTATTTAACCACATCAAGAGCTGATGTAATAATACATTGTCAATTTAACTAGTCTGCAATCCGTAAAGACTGATTTGCATACAGCACACACAAGACAAGATGAATCCAGACTATTTCACATCAGTGACCATGATTTAGTTGCAACATTTACAACCAAATGGATACCAGGTTATTAAGCAAATTCCTTCAAGTTTAATTGCAACCCCCCTGTCATTTTCTTGAAAAAATTTAATAGCCCCCCCCCTTCTAGTCATTTATTTCTACATATGCCCCCCCCCCTTATTTTTTCCCTCCCCCCCCCCTTCCATAAATGATGACCGGTCTCTTATTGTTAAAATCGAGGATGTCGTTAAAATTAAACTGTTTAAACCTGTAAGATCTTCGCCCCAGTTCGGGAACATTTTATATTATGTTGTGTTTTACCAAATAATGTCCTTGCCCTTGCACGGTTCCCATTTGTAAAAAACTGCTGTAAATCATATCCCCCTTTAATTAATTTGATCTCATCCGTGAGTCGGCCTCGAAGGCCTTTGATCTCTTTTTCGGCCGTATAGCAGTGGCTAGTCTCACTTTTCTCTTTATTTTGCAAGTAGTTTAAGCCAAAAATATTATATTTTGAAGGTTTTAATGTGCAGCTTTAATAAGCGAAATTGTATTGTTGACAAATCGCTCAAAATTATTAAACTATAATTAAAAGTGCAGTAAGTTTGATCCTTGATAATTTCGGAATTGTTGGTTTTCTTGTTTTCGGCCGTATGTCAGTGGATTCGTCTCACTTTTCTCCTCAATTTGACGGCTGTATTTTGAGACAAAAAATTTTATGTCGAAGGCTTTAAAACGCAGTTTTGATCCTAACGTACGGCAGTGGCGTAACTGCTATGGGCTCAGACCGGGAGAACCCGGGGGCCCCCAACCTAAATGGGGCCCCCCAGGCTTAGGCGATAGAGCAAAAACATTGGTCAGGGCCTCTGATATGTTACAATGTCGTTTTATGACCATCAGAATTCTGTAAAATCTCTCCCCAAAGTCCAGGAAATGACATTTCAGAGAGTCTAGATTAAAAATTTTCCGGATGAGCATGACCTGGACCCCCTAGAAAACTCGTGCATATACGGCGCTCGACTCGTACCTTTGGCACTTCTATACTAGGGGGCCTTCGAAAATTTTGAACCGGGGGCCCCCTGATATAACGTTACGCCACTGACGTACGGACCAACTGGCGGCCGACAGGAGAATTATAACTCTACTTGACTTGTGCATGAAGGCGGAAACGCCGAAAGTTTTATTTGTAAGCGGGGCCAGCGGGCACCGCATTTTAGTATTGTGTTTGGTTTTTATTCCATTCGGATTTAAAGCATTAAATTTTTCTTATTTTCGAATTTAAAGTTCAAGAAATTTACTACTAAATGGTGCCTAAAACTAAATTGTTTGTGCAAAGTACTTACTGTTTATTATGCAAGCTTTGTAGGCCTATTTTACCGATGAAATCGACATCAGATAGGTAAACTACGTGAAGCGTTCCTCTTTTGAGTTTCAAAATTGATTGCAATTTTCCTCATTACTTTCGCAACTTAAAAAATTCCCTTGCAAATCCCTTGAGGGAATTTGCAATGTTGCTAAAAGCCAAAAAAATTTTCCTCAGTTCCTGTTAGAAGTTCTTAACTTCCTGTTACAAGTTCCTAACTTCCTGTTCTGTTCTAGGCGTTGCAATTGGCTAACAAAAATAATCGACCAATAACAACGCTCAGAACAGAACAGGAAGTTAGGAAATTAAAGGCCGGTTTACACGACAAGCGTTTTGGGCACGGCACCCCTGAAAATGGGCACCGTCCCAAAACCGCCACTTCGCTATTTACTCGTTTACACGACAACATTTTGTAAACACACTTTTATGATAGGCACCGTGCCCATCGGAAAACGGCACCTCTACTTTCCGTTTACGACGGTATATTTTAAAGAATAAATACGTCGGACAGAAATAGAATTATATATTTATATTTATTGGAACGAAGAAGAGTATTATATGAGCCGAAAATCGAGGGGAAAAAACAATTCAATACTAGAAAAGTAGCCAGCTCATATGGGCGAAAGTTATCCCGGTTAGCGAGAAAACTTTTCGACAAGTTTACAAACGAGATCTTGCCTTGGTATGAAAATAATATGAAAAGTTACACTGCGTTCATATGAGACAAAAAGTTTTCACGAGATCTCGCTTGTTGACAAACCAGATCTCGGTGACCGGGATAATGTTTTTTCCATATCACAACTTTACCGCTTAACGGGATAACTTTCTGTCGTATCAGCATCTTTTCAATTCAATTGATATTCAGTGCGTGCCCATCGGAAAACGGCACCCGGCTCTATTTTCCGTTTACGACGGTATATTTTAAAGAATAAATATGCCGGCCAGAAATAGAATTATATATTTATATTTATTGGAACGAAGAAGAATATTATATGAGCCGAAAATCGAGGGGAAAACCAATTCAATACTAGGAACGTACTTTAAGGGCCAGTTCATATGGGCAAAAGTTATCCTGGTTAGTGAAACGACTTTTCGAAAAGTTTACAAGCGAGATCTCGCCTTGGTATGAAAATAATATGAAAAGTTAATAGTTTACACTGCATTCATATAAGACTACAAAACGTTTTCCCGTGTACGTACAGAGATCTCGCTTGTCAAGTGATAATGTTTTTCCCATACGAACACAACTCTAGTTCCCGCTTGGCAGGATAGCTTTCTGTCGTGTCAGTAACTTTTCAATTCAATTGATATTCAGTGCTATGTCACAGCCGGAAACTTTACCCGGTAAGCGGAATAACGTTTCTCCATGCATGTGAACAGAACAAAAGTATATTTGGCTAGTCGAAAAGTTTTCTCGTTAACCGGGATAACCTTTGCCCATATGAACAGGCCCTTAAAGACGAAAGGAGTTGTTTTCTCGCATAGTGTTGTGCCATCTTGTATTCACCCGCCACGAATTTGAGAGGTATGGACGCATCGAACGACAGCTATTTGCTACGATCTAGTTACTGCTCTATTCAGAGACGAACAGTGATATCAAAATTTCCGAGTCAACTAGAGCAACATTCACATTCTGTGTTAAATTTGTTTTTTAACTTTGTTTTTTTTTAATTTTTGGCAAGTTGTAGTTTTTCGCCGCTTGCTGCCATGTTGGAAAGAGGACAATTTGTTTTGCGCATGCTCGATGTCGAACACATTTTTTATTTTTTTCGAAATTTGGGCACGGCACCCCTTGCTAGACGTGCCGAGACTACCTCGTGAGAATGTCTCGGCACGTTT